TGGGTAGAAGAATCTTGGCAACCTTACGAGAAGAGAGGTCCAGTTGACCAGCCGGGTTTACAATTTTAGGTTGGCAAGACCGCTCCGCCCGCTTCCGGTGCTTCTTCAGAGTCGATTCGGAGACTCGGATTGCTCCGCCAAGGTCGCCCATGGCCGCCTCGTCAGCAAGCTTCTTGACCACCACCTTCCAGGTGCTCTTCCCCATGTAGATGGAAACGGACGCCCGCTTGGCGTCAGCGCGGCCACCATTCATGTGCATGACGAGCTGCTCCACTCCGGACTTGAAGTGGGGGTACTTGACATGGATGGCCACCTTCAAGAAGAAAGAATGTTGTGATCAGATGAAGACGCCCGCGGCGTTGATGAAAAGACCTTGGAATACAAAGCCCTAAACGAGCAATCCGCGCAACGTGGCCCAAGATCGGACAGCATTAGCACGGATTGCTCTGACGGGTGCAACGTGCAAAAGAGATTGCGCATCTGCTTGATTCGGACCTGCATCAAGGGCTATCTGAACTTGGAACCGAAACTAGGGGTTTATGTATCCACCAGATACGTTGTGAACAGTATCACTGTGACCAGCATGAAATGGAGCCTGGTCATTCAACACAGGCACATGCTAACTCAAATCTGAATGGATGCGCCGCAAGCAGGAATACTGATGCAAGGTTCATATGTAGCATAAGCTGCAATGCTCAATTGCTTCAGAACAAACTTACGGACAGGCTTGTTAAAGGATCCGTGACTACCGCTACCAAATCATGTAACCAGCGACAGGTACCGATAACCTGGCAATCTAAACCCTCACCAGAAGTCAGTCGTATCTAATTTGATAAATTGTGGCCCTAGAATGGAACAAAGAGATGGTGCCCCGGGCCAGCTTTCCAACCTGCCAAGAAAGAATAGAAGCCGAGGAATGCTCACCTGGTGACCCCGAGCAACATGCCTCAGTTCTGGTGTATTTTCCAACCGCTTCTTGAACCTTCGCCTCACCAGCGCCCTCCACGCCTTACTCCCCGCTTCCCTAATCTCTTCTTTCCTCTGCGCTACAGCCGCTGCTGTTCGCAAGACCTCAGCAGGGACACCCCTCCCTTGATCCTGCGCTTCCAGCGCACGTCTCGCAGCCTGCTCCGCTACCTTCAGAAACTTCTCCTTTTCGACACTTACCTCCTGCACTACCTGCTCAAGAATGCCCGGCATGGCATCAAGAGCACACTCTGTCTGCTTAGCATGAGACCGCAGCGTGCGAAGACTGATTCCATCATGCTGCTTGGCAAACTGTTTCTTTCCTACAATCTGTCCTATTGCATAGTCTACTACTTTGGACGCTTGCGTAGAACCTGCTAGCATTTGGAGATCCTTCAGCGGTAGGCCAGCAACCCTAGCTAACCTTTTAGCGGTGTCAAGCTCTACTGAATTCCTAAAGTGCTGCTGCAATTCTTTGACAACTTCCACCTCGCCGCTGCGAGGAAGAAGTACTGTCCTATGCGAGCTTGTGTCCTCACTACCTGAAATCACAACGGCAATGAAAGGGCCATTGGACAGCAACACCTTCCAACAGTTCCCTCGATCTTGCTTCCTGAAGTCACCCCCTTTTGACCACCCACGGACCTCAAACATTCCCATGCTTCCGCAAGACCCAGCGTTTTTGAGCTTGAACAGTCCAACAACTCCATTGCCTCTAGAGCGCCTTTCATGTTGTCAAGCCGGCACCCTTTCCACCAACCTTGCTTCTTAAACTTGGCATCACTGACCGCTTTCCGGAGTTGAATCTTTGCTTGAGCCCACTCCATAGGAGCCTTAGACACAAACAAACCTTCGCTCAGTTGCGCAACTCGCTCCCCAAGCCAGGACCCAGGCTCCTGCCCTCCGCTCTCTTCGTCCTCGCTTAGACCCCCGTGGTCACCAGAATGCCTCCCGTCTGACGCCCCCAGCTCCTCGCTCGCAACGCCATCGTGCTCTGACCCCCCAGCAGCAACACCCAAGCTGCTCTCAGCCCCACAACGATCTGCTCCACCGCTGTCCTCGCCCACAGTGTTTCCAATGCCATTCCCGCTCATGGCCCCCGAGTTCTCTGCACCCCAGGTCTTAGCACCCGCCAATCCCCATGCCCCGGCAGGACCAACATCCTCGCTTCATAACGAATAATCTGAGAGCTGAAGGTTCGGGTGACCTGACCCACGTTCGTCTCCGCTCTGTTGCCTCCGCCTGAGATCTGATGCTGCCTGTGACCCCTCAAGTTCTTGCTCTCTCTCGTCCCCCTCAGTCCCGACGGCAGAACCAGCTCTTGCTTCTGGGCTTCTTCCCACTTCCTCCTCCGGAACTGAATCTGCATGCTCCAAAACCCGGCGCGACATCGGGGTGGGCCGCTCTGCAGGTAGACCAGTTGTAAGGGGAGGGCTGCTGCCGGGAGCAAGCTCAGGCGCTGTGCTCACACTTCCTTCTCCTCCGCCAGCTTCCGGGCTGGCGGCTCTTCGGGGCGGGGACAAGCTTTTCTCCCTCAACCAAGCCACCGGAGCAAGCCCCTCTGCCCCCTCCTCCATTCTGCACCCGATACCACCCTTTTGATACCACCGCTTCATCTTGCTATGGGAGGAGGGACAACACTTCACCCAGACCAATGTCCAGCTGCCCCTTGCCTGCTTTTCCCCTAAACTCGCGAACCGCGCGCATCCTCTTCTCAACTGGGGTTTCATCCTCCCCCAATGCCACACCATGCTTCCGCTTGGCAGCCTCAGTCTGCTTCTGCCGCAGGTAGCGCGCCTCATCGCGCTGCATTTGACGAATCCAGAACTGCAGATCCTCTAGCTGCTTGTCGATCAGCTTCTTCTGTGCGACGAACACCGGAATGCTCCTGCGCAAGGGAAGCAGAATCAACAACATATCAAATCTTGCTTTTATTGATAGATCCCGTCTTTCTGAAGTTAGTGTGATTGAGCAGGAAGAAGATCTTTAATCGCTCAAAAGTGCTCCCTCACGATTGCTGGTTTGCACTGTACCAGAATGCTGCATATGCAGGCCTGGAAAACTTGACCCCAATGCTTGATGCTGCTGATAGTAGCTGTTAACAGTTAAGCATGATGCAACCCACAGCAGATAAGACTAGACCAGACCAGACCAGACCAACAAAGTTCACAGTTTGAAGCATGATGATGTTTCAACCTGCTGAAGCACGGGACACCGTCATGCACATCAGACCAACCTCAGCCCAACTTCTCAGTTTTGAGCAAGACATTTATTCTGCAAGCATAATCACACTTGTCACTGGTACCTTAAGGGTCTTTTGAACGTAACAACAACTATATACAGATAGTTTGGTTGCTTACCTTGCGGACAAGGTGCACTTGTATTTGATCATGTCAGCACCGGCGTTGAACTCCTCCAGGACAGAATCGTACATCTCCTGGAGACACTCCTCAAACTGACCCTTGCGGTTCTTGAGGGCCGCTTCCCACGCTTCGACGTGCTTGCGGTTGGCCGCCAAGTTCCACCATTGGCCAGCTGGAGCTAGCTCCAGTGCTGCCGCCTTCCACTTCTTCTCTTCTGAAGTGCGGCGCTTAAGCTCGTCCTTCACTTTGCGAAGAGCCTCTTCCCACGCCACAAAGGTTGCCAACAGATGCTTCAACTCATTTGAACCTACTTGACGGACCTGTGCTAATGAGCACGCCTCGCTAAACAGCTTCTGCAACTCTGTTTCACACCGAGGAATGTCTGCCCTCCTTGTGGGACACTGTGACGGTTGGACAGGGTCACACGCTGCCTGTCTACTTCACATGTGCGGAAACCATGCGA